CTTGAGTACTTTCCCTTGAGAGACTGTTCTGTATTCTCATACCTTAGCCTCTTCTGAGTTTCACATCTGCTAACCCTTGCTATCTGCTTGCTTCTATTGTGACTAATGATTTATTACTAGGATTGATCACTTCTTATGGTCAAATATCATTAGAAACAATTATCACAGGCGTTTTGATTAGAAAAAAACAACTGTAAGTAACTTCACATGCATTTACTTTTTTAGTACTTGTTTTAGAATCACAGTCTCTGAAATTATTTTCTTCTTGTGTAATTAAAAATTGATATTACTATATATTAAGAATGTAAATTAAAGGAGTTCATTATGACATTTTATACATGAATACAGTATGCACTGCTAATATTCACATATCTATTATGCTCTGATGATGAGCCATTAGACTGTGCTTAGTAGAAGCCATTACATTTAAACCAATTTAATTATGTGAGTGAAAGAAGATAATGTTAGTTCATCAATGGATGTAATGGTAAAAACAAAACACAAAGCAAAACAAAACACAAAGCAAAAATGGCTTTACTCTTCACCCAGTGTAACAAACAGTTGAATTCACTTTATTGAAAGTAAAGACTTAATATTGATGCTTTTCTACCCATAAGTCTTTGATTCATTTATCTAATTCATCAGAACTAATTGCATGAGGTAAGTGCCTAGTCCTGTTTATAGGAGATAACCGAGAATTGTCGTCAATGTTTCTTATCAATCAAATGGTTTTTCATGGATTTAACATAATACCTTACTAAACCAGAGAAAGTGTATTCAACAAAATGCATAACAGGCCTATACTCTAGGTGAACAATAAAGAAACACAAAGATAACAATATTAACATAAAACTTCCTTTGTGACGATGAAAAGAACAGGACACTTTGATAGAGGTCAGTAGAAGAGAGCAGAAAGCAAAGGTTTGCAGATGCAGATGTGAGACTCAGAAGAAGCTAAAGTGTGAAAATACAGAACAGACTTTCAGGAGAAAGTATTAAAGCCAAACAGCCAAAAGATGCAAATACAGGGCCTGAAATATCATACACATAGAAGGCCTGAGTAGGGTGCCACCATAGCAAATTCTGTTGGATAAATTCAGTTGGATACCAGAAGCATTGTAATAATGGAAGAAATTGAACTGACTTTGGGTTAAGATATTGTTGCAATTACATGTTGAAAAACAGAATCAATGCAGCCATTTCTATTCAAGCAGAAAATAATGACTTTATAATTTCTCACTTTGTATGTGTACATAAAACAAATGATACTAACAATTATCTATCAATACACATAGATCTTGCCTAAAGTCAGATAATTTGGGGGCATTATTATTTTTTCCTAGAATGTGAAACTTCAATTAATGAAACTATGTTACTGATTATAATAAAAATGCTATTTATATGCAACTGACATCCAGACCTTAGAATAAACCGAATTGCAGGTTAATTCATGTAAACAGCTCAATTTCAAGTAGCTATGATTAAGGGAATGTACTTTTTAGCACGTATCATTAAATTATATTCTAAAACATCTAATATATTTTGTAGATAAATAATCAGGAAACAATAGTGTTAGACAAAGATTGATGATAACTAGGTAATAGTGATGGTGAATAATGCTTATGAAAATTAGACTTTATAAAATACTTTAAATTAAATAATAGTAAATATGAAGGATGGATATTGCAAAAGTGGAAGTCCAAATGTTGGTCATTATTTACAATATAAAGCAGTAAGGTCATTTAGCTTCTGACTACTGGGACCCAAGCAAGAGAGATCAATGGTTTTCTTAGCTATTTCCAGCTTCTATCATACAACTACACAACATTAGATTCCTTGGAGATGGCTAAATTCATACATTGTGGCATCTGGTGCCTACTCAAGTATAAACCGTCTCTCTGAGGATTTAAAATTACTTTTAAAGGGTATTAACACAATCCATCATATGTACATTGGAATTTTTACCACACAGATAACAATGCGCTGATTCAGCACTTTGATTCTAACTTCTCCAACGGAGCTTTATTCTGTTGCACAAGTTCTCATTTTGTTGACCAAGATGACCTGGAAGAGGGTCAAATGTTTTTTTTGACAGCAGATTCTGTTTTAGGAACTAAAATGAGAAATGCTAGGGGGCAAGTCTGCAAGTCATTTGTTTATTCATGAGCTTTTGCTATCATCTCAGAATAAGAATCTAAGAAACAATTCATGTTATTTTGGGGGATAATAAAACGATTGTTACCACTCCCGTAAGAAGGTGTTTATATTTATAATACAGGTGAAAGCTGTGTTCCAAAAAATGATAATATCTTCTTTTCTTATAAAATAAATATCTTACTTTTAAAATATAAGCTGGTCGCAATTCATTACAACGCACCTTGTGTATTCTAAATCTAATTTTAACCCTGTGAGATTATTTAGTTCAGTATTATTTAGGTATAAGCGATTTTCATATGAAATATTTTTTAATTACATAAACAAAATAGATAACTAGTGTGAATTTAATATACATATTAACATTTTTCTTAATAGAGAAATTGTAAACATGGTTACAAGTCATATTCACTAACAAGAAGCCTTTAAACTCTGAAACAACACCATATAATTATTCATATAATAATGTTATTGTTAATCATTTTTGTGTGTGTGTGTGTGACCAATCACCTAAAATAAATACCTTGGAAGAGGAAAGATTTGTTTTGACTCCTGTTTCAAATTTTCTGTCTAGTGTCACTTGATTTCATGCTTGAAGTCCTATGGTAAAGCACTAACATGACAGAGGAGCAAGCCGGAGAAAATCTCCTCACCTCATGGTAGCCAGGAATCACAGGGAGATCGGAATAAAGAAGCAGCCCAGAATAATCCACTCCTTCCATGCTGACTCTATCTCCTAGTCTCTTTTCTCAACCTCCAATAATTTAATTAATTACGAGTCTCATCATGAATTAAGTCAAGCTGCTCATGATCAATTCACTTCCCTAAATGCATAACTCTAAAACTCTCACTGAAAACCAAGCCTTTGTCACAAAATCCATTGTGGGGCATTTCAGATCCAATCTGCAGCATTAATTATTATATATTATATATATATTATATATATATAATATGGTAACAAGATTGGTATCCTTTTAAGATTAGTCAAAACGCTATCTTGATTCCATATTAAAAAGTGAAAGAGAAGTCCTAAAAGAAATTTTTTTAAAAAACTACAGGATTGCTTTATATTGCAGGCAAAGGGAAAAAAATATGAGGATGGAGAGAGAGAGAGAGAAAGTAAAAGAGCGGGTGGGAGAGGGACAGACCACAGAGATGCATATCTGTTGATGGGAAAGGAAAGCTAATGGCTGGATAGTGGGTGGTGCCTTTAGAAACAAAAGAAGAGCATTCACACCGTGGACATAAGTAAATACTGTGGGAGAAGATATCTGTGTGTAGAAATATGTAGGTATCCGCTACAATTAAAGAGAAGATATGGAAAAACTTGAAATAGAATGTGAAAACAGTAAGAAACGTAGCACAATAAAAAAACCACATAGTTTTGTGGATGAATACGTACATATACATTATTTTCCTCTGTATACCTAAAAGAGTAAACATTAAGGCAAAAGCAGTCTCATCTATTAGCAAATAAAACATATTCATATAACAGTACCTTTATTCAAAATAACAGAATATAAAATTTGAATGTAGTAGATCTTTAAAAATTATCTGTTAAAATATTGATAGCATCACCCTTTAGGACATAAAATTTAGGCTCTGCATTCAAATCCTGCCTCTGCTCTTTTCTCATTACATTACATAGGGAAAATCACTTAACTCCTACAACATTCTCATTTGTCATGTGAAATATCTGCCATAAGTACTTTATAGAGCTGTTGAGTAGAGTCCTAAGATGCGTTATATTCTATCAGAACTATTTGTCATCATCACTTTTGACATTTTTGTGTACAAAACAGAAAATTAAAAAGGTGTGTTAAGTGATGAAATGAAAAAAAAAGCCATCTCTATTTTATGTTCAATACTTCTTTCAAAAGCAAAATGAGATTTAGATGAAAATAAATGTGATTTTTTTTAAAAAAAGAAAGATACTATATGACAGTACACGCCAAAATGAATGTCAAATAGTGTGTGAACCATTTAGTACAGGAATAAATGTTACATTGGCTCTCCACAGCTATTGTAACACAGGAAATGAGAGCAAATTGGGCTTAAAGTAGGATAGACGCATTCTCTACTGGTTCTGAGAAACAGAATTCAAAATAAATATTAAAATGTTGCTAAAATTAAGATAGCGGTATCCTGGGGCTGGAGAGATGGCTCAGTGATTAAGAGCACCGTCTGCTCTTCCAGAGGTCCTGAGTTCAATTCCCAGCAACCACATGGTGGCTCACAACCGTCTGTAATGGGATCCGATGCCCTCTTCTGGTGTGTCTGAAGACAGCAACAGTGTACTCACATACATAAAATAAATAAATCTTGCTGGGCGGTGGTGGCGCACGCCTTTAATCCCAGCACTTGGGAGGCAGAGGCAGGTGGGTTTCTGGAAGGAAAAAAAAAAGATAGCGGTATCCTTCTGATGGATTATGGGAAAAAATCTCTTTTCTTTCTTCTTCTGCCTTGTATTCTTTGACTGATAGATCCCTCCTTCTTCTTCTTTGACCCCATCTTCTTTCTTGAATCAAAATACCTTTTGCCCTGGTTCATATAATAAGTCTGATTGCATTTAGGACCCATTGAGATAAGCTAGACCAGCCTGTCTACCTCAGAAATCTTAATGTTCACATCAAAGTCATTCTGGAAAGATAAGGTATCATTCACAGATTCTAGGAAATATAATGTGGTTATCTTTGGATCACAGCATGATAGCAAGATAAATTGGAGGAGAATGTTCTAGACCGTTCTGTAAGATTTAATTTTAGATGCTTATAACTGTTTGACCAAGGAGAAACAAACTTGAACCAGACACAATCACACAACTTAAACTCCCATTGTTGTTTTAGGTGTTTTAAATGTATATCTACGTTTGAAAGGGCAGACAGCTATAGAGAATCCTCTATGGTCTTCGAGAGGGAACAAAGGACAACGATGGAATGAAGCCCATGTTAATATATATCCAATTACTTCATTTCAGGTAAGAAACTACTTTCCTCATAGATTGATGTGTAATGAATACAACATGAAATAAATAGCAAATAAAATATTAATACTCAGAGTTCGATAAGTTTATCCTCATTTTGAATAGCTATTTTATGAAGACAAACGCGTCTGTATCAGCATCTATTACGTAGAATAATAATCTATCAAAAGATGAGTTATTGCCTTGCATAGTGACACACGCCTTCAATCCTGAAATTTGGGAAGCAGAAGTAAACATATCTCTGAGTTTGAGGCTAGCCTGGTCTACAAAGCATACTCTAGGATGTCGAGAACTACAAAGAAAAATCTTATGAAAACAAAACAAAACATAACAAAAACAAATGAACAAAAAACCTTCAAGGTATTTGCATAGTAATTTATTTCTATAGAATCATTTGCATGCATTTTATTTTCTACAGAAAAAAAATAGAGGTTTTTCACTAAAATAGGCATCAATGCTGAATTTAATTTGTTGGATAATTTTAGATGAATTTTGAAACTTGTTTTTTACTTCAGTCATTTATTATTTTAATCAAAATCAGGAAGTTTAGACAAATTATTTTTCTTTCTGTAAATTGAAGTTAGATTTAAGTTAAAAACCAAAAAGTCATTTATAAAGATAGCAAAAAATGTAATGACTTAAGATTTTTAATTGAAATAGGAAATTTTAATAATCCTTATAAAAGATGATATATCTGTAAGCTATTTTAATAAAGTTATAAGCATGGATTTAGTGATTTAAATAACCATACCCCAACATATGTATATGAATGTATATGTGTGCATGCCTATGCTTTCATATATGTCTAGCCAGCATATAACGAAGTATTTTTATTGACTTAAAATATTAAAAATCTTTAAAATCTAATCACATGTAATGTAGTCTATAGCTCTATCCTCACTTGAAAGAACTCAAAACCACTTAATGATATAAATGTGTCTCATGGCTTACTTTTAAGGGTACAGATAATCAGAATAATCTAGTTACGCAATGTTTTTCATTGCATAATTGCATGATTGTTTGGGATATTGAATTCTAAAGCTAACTAAGTTGATAAAATGAATATTATTTTTTTGCAAGAGTAGAGGATAAGAAATTAAGTAAGACCACAAAGCATCATGTGACTATAAAGGCACAGAAACATGTTGCGTCTATGAAGGATAGTATAGCTTTAAAAACTGAAATAACTTACCTTAGGAAAGGAGACCTCGAAATACAACTAATATTAAAGTGTGTGTGTGTGTGTGTGTGTGTGTGTGTCTGTGTCTGTGTGTCTGTATGTGTGTGTGCGCACACACGTTGAGGCTAATTTTTATAAAAATATTTATGTTCTTCCCTATGTATTTTGCTTCTTCAATGGGCTATTTCTTTATCATAAATGATTAAATTAAATACATATACAATAAGGATTTAAGTTATGGTAATGTTATACTTAAGATAATTCTTTCTTGACATTCATATTAATTTCATGAACATTTGTTACGTGCCTCCAGGACAATCACTTATTTCCTTAGATACTAGTCAAAAAAACTCCAACTACTTTCTGTCACATTGGGAGATTGAATAGAAATTCTTGTTGTAAGTGATGTTAGAGGCTAACATGCAGAACTGGTCCACAGGAATGAGAGATGTCAGGATATACATAGATGTCAACTGGAACAGGACAGTTTTCATGGTGGGAATCTTGAACTAAACATTAATGACAAAGTAATTTTGGCTTACAAATTGTCGAATAATGCCTGAACTACAGATTGGTTCATACAAGGAAAGAGAGGTGGACGAGGTTAGATTCGGAAACATATATTTTCTGTCTTAAACATGTTGACAAAAATGTTAAAGACATGGAAGAAGTTGTAAATATCAGACTGAAGTTTTGAATACATGGGTATTGGGTGTGTTATCAGATTATATATGTCTTCCTAAAAACTGCCGTAGTCAAGTGAGCAAATCAATAATGAAACCATACAGAACCATTCTCTAAGATTAACTGAGGCAGGCGTGCTCATCCTAAGTCAGATCTTAAAGGAACTCACATATTCATTGAATTAAAAAAAAAAGAGAGAGCAAGAAATGACAAACTCAAATTAGAAAACAAGTACATTACTGGTAGAATGTTCTTTCTTGTAACATAATTTCTAAAGTTCTCTTGCGGGAGAAATTGAGCTTCTAAATCTAACCAACTAAAGTGAATAAGTTTCTTTGCGATTGTTAGAAGGTAATTGACAAGCTTAGGTTTTAGTTAAGTCAAAGATATAGAAGTTATATTTTAGAGGGGACACAGTGTCCACTTCAGAAAATTTTTTTCAATGTTCAGTTTCCTTTAATGACCCTCATCTCCATGGAAGGGTGGGTACATGCAGCTAGACAACAAGAGAGGTTCTCTTGAAGATCTTGTCTTGGTTGAAGTCTTTGCTCATGTGCTCCAAGACCCCCTTCCAGGAAAAGTACTCTATAACCAACGTCTGGATCTCCTCAGTACCAGGATGCAATTTCCATCATGTGTATGACTAATAGTCCGCCTGCCATTCTGGATTCAGCAGAGAGGCAGGCTTTTGGCCTCAGAATATGCAAATGCCAGAATCAGAGCTCCTGTTGTTGGTTCCAAAGAGGATGATACTAGAAAGGAATTCTTCCTCTGTTTGTAAAATAACTGGAACATTCCAGTGATGAGTTTGCGACTCATGAAGGTCTGGATAAAATCTTCAATGAAGCAGAACTCAGCA